GTGTGTACATTGAATATATATATATATATATATATATATATGGTGACAGCAATGGTCACAGACAGTTTCAGATGCATGATGTGGTCATGTGCTCCTGCAGGTAGATACTGGAGGCACGAAGGCGAGCCTAATTGAGTGACTCAGGTAGTCAGGTTTATCACAGTTTCAGATGCATGATGTGGTCATGTGCTCCTGCAGGTAGATACTGGAGGCACGAAGGCGAGCCTAATTGAGTGACTAGTACAGGTAGTCAAAGCGTGTATGATCTTGACCAAACCAACGACCCTGAAAAAAGTGCTCGTGAAGTGAATCCCTGTGCTGGCATTAGGAATCAATAAACCGAGGAAAAGGAAAGGTGGGATGAAGTGGTTTCATGAAACAGCCATTAACCTAAGTTGTCATGGCTAATCCCGAGATCAATCAACAAGCAACAAAGCAACGACGAGAAAACCGAGTGTGCATCACTTAAGGTATTTTTACTAACTGTCCTTCCTGCAATAACATAGATTCATTTCCAGTGCATTAGTGAAATCAATCCCATTCTTTTTACCATATTAACGTCGCCACGACCGCAGACTTAAAAGTTCACACCCCTTCTCAACACGTACCTATTTGTTCAGTGGCAAGAAAGTGCCCTCCCGGATAGGAAGGCAGCTGCAGCACTAACAACTGCACCATCGCATTCTGAAAATATAGAAATATGGTGGACGACAACGACAAGGTAATCGGCACAGCAAATAAAACAGAAATAAATTCTATAGCCAAGGAGTATTTCATAGCTAATTCATATCAACTTCCACTTGATAGATATTCAGCTCACCATATTGGAAGGATCTAAAGCAGTTCTATCTCTGAATGGACAACCACCAATAGGTGTGTGTACCGGACATTCACTCTGACCGTCTGTCGTGACTTGCGATGGAGCGGAAAGCTGCGACGTCAAAGATCCCATTAGGAAGTTTGGTGGACGGCACAGTGCAGCTGGAAATATAATATAGTACTTCAGAAACCACTGTGGCATATGGAAACGAGGTGAAAGGCGGAAGTAACAGCAGAAAAACGCAAATCATTTGTCGCGGGATAATATAACGAGACGTTCCAAAGGAGAGCGCGAGATGGTTCAGTGGTCAAGAAGCTAACTTACTAATAAGAGGGTCTACGTTTCGAACTCAACCTCTGCATCCCGACTTCTCTTGTCTAGGCTTGGGTAACCTAGCAGGATCTCGACCCTCATGTTTCCATCCAATAAAGAGCACATGTTGCCAATGAAAATTCATATCATTTACCCTCTAGTGTGCATAGAGAGTGAATAAAAATAAATCGTTCAGCTGTAACACTCTTCCGGTACCTAGCTGCCATGCCGCCCGAAGGAAGCACGAGGGCGGGGATACTGCCAGGTAGGGTAGTCGAGAAGTAGAGGTCGGGTTCGAACCACGGACCTTCTGATCATTAAATTTGCGCTCTAACCACTTGGGCAATCTCGCATAGCGGATGAGTAACGTGAAGTTCGGATCTCCGCAGTAGTTTCCCTCACATTCAAGATATATAATGTGCAGGGAAGTGGCTAGTTGCGAGCATCCGTCCTCTGACTCCTTTATTAGGAAAACAGAATTCTGTGTGCTGATGATTCACGCCATACTACATCGGACACTTATTGTTTTTAACTCGAACTCACCTTAGTGAGCATATCACGACTACCGTATCCGAGAATGACGAGATGTCATTAGTGCCACTCGGATGGATGCTGAAAGTGATCAGCCATTCAGCGAACGCAACAACCGAAATGCATTCTACATGCATGGCAGCGATTAAGATGATTTAGACATAAATCTCCGTAGAGGACCGCGTGAAAATCGCTCCTGGCACTGTTTCGCACAGATGCACATACCAGAACACCTATTGTGAGATTTGAAGTGCTACTACCATGAGTCTGTGGGCCACTGGCTTTCTGAACAGAATGTTGTGATGCGCTCCGTGGAAGACCTCACACAAGTTGAAGAAATTAACGTCCACTTACATCCGAATGTCGAGGTTCGTTGTCCAGTTTATGAGAGTGAACAGGGCCAATTAGGAAGGTGCTGGGGATATCAATATCCCCCAGAAAACGCTGTGTTTTTATGTGTGCTAGCGAACTCCTGGCATCTTCAAGGTCAAACTAGGAAAAATCAATGGCCTATTGATACTCCAAGGAAATTTAAATCCGACCACGTACAGGATACCATTCTTTCCACTGATTCGGGTTCGGAAGCTCCGGGCACCGCCTGTTGATCGTGTGTTGTTGGATTATTGAAGTTTGTGTCCGGAGGTTTCGTCTTCTTACTATTCGCCGTGCTAGGAGTCTGGATCAATCAACATAGCTGGGGATTGAGTATTGCCACAATCCGCATTATCATATTGTTTGCTCGCTGCGTGACAGAACCGTAACAGAAGGACCTCCTTTCCCGGAATCCGTGTCGATTTTAAGTCGGTGGCTGCCTGCCCACCATAGAGTTTCGATATAAGTCTAACACAATACAGGACAGTACAGAAAGGAGAGGAATTTTGCCATGGTTAGTCGGGTTCGATCTTCTGCCATACTTGCAAATGGAGGGGATGACCCCTTGCTTCCACTCTGCTGCTAAACCGGGAATGTTCGAATAACCGGAAAAACAGTCATTGTGTAAGCACACTCCAGCGGGAGGAATATCAGTGTTCTAAGACTAATGTGGTCTTTGACCGACGTTGAAGGACGACGTGAAGTTTTCAATTTGAACTTGACAGTTTCCGGGCTGAATGTAGTGCTCCAAACTCTCCCCGGTCACGTAACCACCATTTGGGGAATGGAAAGTGATTGTCTGTGGCCTCTTTGAGCGAATCAATGTGGCCGCTCCAAGTTCCCGATGGAAAAACACCAAGTTCAAACTACCGCATCTGCTCGGCATGCTTATATAGGAGCTAAAAGTTCGTCGTACGTTCTGGGCTGGGCCTCCAACGAAGCAGCTGGTGGATGGTGCTAGGATGGTGCTGTCTAGGATGGTGCTGAGATCAAAGGTATCCAGAAGCATCTCTAGACTCACTCACTCAGTCATGTGATCAGGATCTGTGCATGTCAGCCGGATTTGGTTTGTGTGCCATATCCACCTGGCCGGGCCAATTGGAATCTCGTGGAGCACTGCCGCGCCGGCGAAGGATGTCCTGGGATTCACGTGGGGTGTCTGCCGCTGTAGTCGCGAACCACGACTGGTCATCTCTGAAGGTTCGCGCGGTTGCTTCATGATGCCGCTTGAACTGTTTCTCAATTCTGGTGTTGCGGCGACTAACCTGCCTCTTCTGTGGCCAGATAGTGTCATGTGGTGTTCGAGGCTCCCTTCAGAGCAGTGCCTCTGCTGGTGACACTCCATGAGACGAGTTAAGATTGGCGTCGCTCGATACGACGGCAGAAACCTTTGCAAAATTTCTTCCGTTGGCCCCACCCTTCTGTACCTATGAACTGCACGCTTCAGAGTGTCAACGAAGCGTCCCGCCTGGCCATTCGACTGTGGACGAAACGGCGGCGAGCGAACATCAGTTAAGCCATACTCCCGACAAAAGTCTGCGGACGCACACGACGTGAACTGACTGCCGTTGTCGGATACAAGTTTCTGGTATTCCAAAGCGACTGAACAATCGTCGGAGTTCCAGGGCTGTAGCAGCAATTGTGGAGTTGTCCGGTTGGACGGAAAAATTTCAGGCCATTTTCTGTAGACATCGATCACGGCCTAAGAGTGTTGGCCACCACCTGAACCTGAATAGTCGATGTGAAGATGAGATCACAGTTCGGCCGGCTGCGGCCACGAACGTTTTCACGGGTGACTTGGATGCTTCAGCAAACCGTAGGCAAGACTTTGGGACTTGCTGGATCTGACAGTCCATCAAAGGCCAGTAGACGTAACTCCGAGAAAGGGCCTGCATCCAGCTTGTTCCCGGGTGACCTTTATGAAACTGATTAAGTACGGTTGGTTCTAACTCCTTTGGTACAACAACGCGTACCGAAAACAAAAGGCACTCATCGACTAGTGATAGTGCGTCTCTCCAGATGAAGTAAGATCTCAGTCCATATTTTGTGCCGGAAAACGGCCACTGATTGCGGTGGTACTTAATGAACTGGTGCAACACAAGGTCTTGGTCGATAGCCTGGAGGACGATGTCAGAAGTCACTGAGAGAATGCGAACCGTTTCGCATACTGCGTGGTTAACCTCCGGTTCCAAGGCAATTGCTCATCATCATCACCATCATCATCATCATCGACAGCTTGACATCAGTGTTCAACACCAATGCTTCACTGCCGTACAACCATAATTTATTTGAAAGCCTTATGGTAAACAAAAAATTAAGGTGGGCGGGGAAGGGACTTAGTGCTAGCTCACCACAATCATTCCGAGATGCCTACACTTCAAGACATTCACTCAGGCAATCTGGATAGAAACTGACAACAAGAACGCCACTGATATCGGTTGGCAGCCATATCTTGTAGTGTCTCCAACCAGGCGCAATAAGAATCACGCGGTCCCCATCGTGGAAGGTGAGTAGAACCGACAGCACCCAAGCGTTTCGTATTCTTCTCCATACTCCTCTGCCTAGTCAAGGGTTGGCCACCTCCCTGTTTACGCCACTCCGAATTGGGCATGGAAAACAGCACTCTCTTCGGTAAACGATGTTTCGACATGCGCAACACATGCCCCAACCAACGCAGCTTCTGGTGGACACATTCTTCAATTGAAGTACCCGTTGCACAACCGAAAACGCGCTTTTTAATTGCTTCATCACAGATTCGCCGACACCAACCCACACGAGCTTTGGTCCTGAGAAAACGATTATCGAACACCTGAAGACGTCTCAGGTCCGCTGCTCGAATAGGCCAAGTCTCACAGCCATACAACAAAACAGCCCGTACTGTAGCTTGATACACATGTCACTTGGTTCTGGTCTATCGGTTCTGGTCTACTTGAGTCAATGAGTCGTGATAGTGCGCCCGCTTAACCGAGGCTGGTGGTGGAACTCAGCATGGATTTGACAGTCAAAGGAGCGTTGGTATTCTTCTGACCATGTACACTTGTGGTCTTTGGTGAGCAGCTGGAGTGAGTAGCTGCATCTGAGGCGATGCACGGCAGGCAGAAATGAACTGCAGTATCTGACGGGACCGAACGAAGACCTTAGGGACGTCACGGCTGTGGGTCCTGGCATACGTCTAAATAGCATTTTTCGGGTGTGGTCGGCGGCCATGTTCGTCAATGATGAAGCCAACCGTCACGAAGAGACTGGACCTTACCGTGGTGTGGCGGTTTGTGTACCTCGGCGACCCATTGAGCTATACTGGAGAGTATCCGCACAATGCTCACAGTCTCTCATAACAGGTTGGTCCATGGGTAGAGCTCTGGGGAACACAGTCTCCTGGCCCTCCAGGTTGGGGGTTGGAACATGTATGGCGACGTGTTCCGTAGAAAATGGTAATGTACTTGCATTTCCAGCCAAACACCGCTGCCTTGCGGTTGGGCTTTTGAGCCGAAGGCATTGGTTGAAGACCCTAATTGTTCTCCTGTCTAGGTGTGGGCGCCCTGGCAGTATCCCAGCCCTTGTACAACCAGTACGGCAGCGAAGCATCAGTGCCAACGCTGATGTTGCTGTCTTTGATGATGATGAGGAAGAGGAGGAGGAGGAGGAGAAGGATGAAGAAGCCAAGGTAATTTAGCAACCGTATGAAGACGGTGAATTTTCTCGGCGCACTCTGAAGCTATACCTTTAAATACAACCAATCACTAATCAAGGCGCCGCCACCATCGCCGCCGTGGGCGATGGAGCCCATGACAATGACATCGTCCAAATAAGCAGCAACGCCGGGGGGATCCTTCAGCATTGTATCCATGATCTGTTGAAATATGGCTGGCACTGTTTTGAAAGCGAACGGCAGTCGGGTATACTAGGACAGACCGCGGTGCGTATCGGTCGTAGTTCGCGAGATTCTCGT